CCCCCCCACACACACACATACGTACACGCACATAGTAATGTATATATATCCAAATCGTAGTGGTAGATTCAATCGATTTTGTTCTTATTTATTTGTTTATTTATTTTTTTTATTTATTTATTCTATTTTATTTATCTTATCGATGTAACATGAGGTAAGTCGTAAGATCAAAAACTTACCTCTTCCCTCTCTTCCCGTCGTCGTCATCGTAGCGGCCGATGTCGTCGTCGTCGGTCGATGTCGTTCGACTGCACTTCCCAGCGGCAAACCGTCGAGATCACAGCGATCCTGACACTTTACCGGACCATTCAATCGGTAGGAGCGACGGCGGTGTGTACAAAGGGTAGGGGCGTAATCAGCGCGAGTTGATTGACTCGCGCTTACTAGGTAATCCTTATTCAAGATCGATAATTACAACAATCTTCCCCGTCGCGTTGAACCCCCTTCCCTTCTCACTCTTCTTCTTCTTCTTCTTCTTCTTCTTCTTCTTCTTCTTCTTCTTCTTCTTTGTCTACTTCCTTTTTCTACTTCTTCTCTCCTCCTTGCGCACGCATTCCCACACGCTCTACCTCCACTTGCGCAGTCCCCTTGCTTCCTCTCCGCTGTCCTTCTCTTTCCTTCGGGCGATCTCTCCTCTTCCTCCGCTTCGCGCCCGACTCTCCACGTCGCGACTTGATCTCCATATCGTTCGTTATCACCTTCATGCTCTCCCCGCGTCTCGCATTCTCCTGCACACTTCCTCCCCGCTCCGCGGTATTACCTTTGCCGACTCTGCAATGACGAGTCGAGGTGCCCCGATAGGATTCCGGAGTTTCGACCGCGGGCTAATCCAGTAGCCCTGACTCGAACGAATCCACCCTCAATAGTAGGGTAGATTCTTTTGAGTAACTACATGAAAATTTTGTTTTGTAAAACAAAAAAGGATAAAATTAAAGAAAAAAAAAAAAATAGAATAAAGGGAATAAAGGTAAGTAGGAAAAATAAAAGAAATGAAGGAAAAAAAATAAAATGAAAACTTCATCTAACTACTAATCCTCCCGGGGAGCCAACTGTCGGGTCCAGGGCCCACGCTCAACTGACCTCTAACTAACCCCCCACGTGGAGGTCACGGGTTCAAGTCCCGGCCAATCATCCGCAGGCGAAACCGAAGATAAAGTTCATCATTAAAAGAGCTAACTCGGGGTCGGGGCAGATTCAATCCTCGCGTGTCCAGCTTGACAGTCTGGCCCAAAACCTATTGAGCTAGCTCCTACTTCGAGTTGAAGAGGAGTAGTTCTTGTATATGTGTAGGGGTAGGGCTCACTTCGACCAATGGCCTGAGCCCAAATCTAAATCTGCATGTGTGCGCACCTGCCGGGTTGCGTGCCTATCCGAGTGCTTATTGGCTTGAGTGTGTGTGCGACCCGCGAGGGCACGTAGTTGATCGGAAGGCCCGAAGGGCCGATACTGACCTATAGTCGTGGCTTTGAGGGACGTGGAGGGAAAGTTATAAGGTAGCGGGGTAAACCCGCATACTTAGAACAGCGGGGAAAACACTAA